TCGAAGATGGGGATTGTATGTCTGCACAGAGCCCATAAACAGGTTTGTGTGGTTAAGCAAAGCCTGATGGCACCTGGAGTATGACGGTTGATTCTTGGGATATTGGGTGACAGTTGATCATTGATTATTTGGAACTGAATAAGGTGAATTCACATGCATGCTGCTGTCCCCAAATGGTCAAATCCTGAGAAACTAAACACTTGCTCAGGTCCATGGCATACTGTCCTGAATTTGGCAAATGCTTTCTGCAGCATACCTTCAGACCCAAAGCCCCAGGACCATTTTGCCTTCCAGCTGAGGACTAAACAGTGTACCTTTGATTGCTCCCAGAGAAACTTACAGCTTAAATCCTCTGTTACGGTTTAGAGGATGCTATTTGAGTGATGTGCCCGATGCCTGGGAAAACCATATGAATAATAATATTCTAATCTCTACAGATTGAAGTCTTTTGCAGAAACCTACCCAGAAACTTCTAGAGCATTTACAATCCAGAGGATGGCTTGCCAGTCGTGCTCTAGAAAGTCCAGGGACCATGGGGCACTATAACATTCCCGGGCATGGTCAAGCAATAAGACCCAAGTTTTTCCAACAGTTGTGATCACTGCAACCAGCCACCACGGGCCTGTGTGTATAGTTTGGATCTGTGTCCCCACTCCGAATCTCTAATTGTAATCTGCAGTGTTGGAGGTGAGGCCTGGTGGGAGGTGATTGATCATGGAGGTGGTCCTCATGAATTGTTTAGCACCATACTCTGTATGTTCTTGTGTGATAGTGAGAGCTCACAAGATCTAGTTGTTTGTGCTGTGTAGGCCAGGTATGGTGGCTCATGCATGTAATCCCAGCACTTTGGGAGGCCGAGGCAGGTGGATCACAAGGTCAGGAGATCGAGACCATCTTGGCTAACATGGTGAAACCCCATCTTTACTAAAAATACAAAAATTAACCAGGCATGGTGGCATGTGCCTGTAGTCCCAACTACTCAGGAGGCTGAGGCAGGAGAATTACTTGAACCCGGGAGGCAAAAGTTGAAGGGATTGAAATCACACTACATTGCATTCAGCCTGGGTGACAGAACAACACTCCCTCTCAAAATAAAATAAAATAAGTGTAGCACCTCTCCCGCTCCTCTCTTGTTCTTGCTCCAGTCATGTAACATGTGCCTGCCTGCTTCCTCTTCCCTTCCACCATGATTTTGGCCCTGAGGCCTCTCCCAGAAGCTGGAGCAGAAGCCACTTACCTTCCTCTACAGCCTGTGGAACTGTGAGCCAATTAAACCCAGTTCCACGTATTTCCTTATAGCAGGAGCATGGACTAATATACCTGTTTTAAGGAAAGGGATGTATCTGCAAAGGGATCCCCAACACAGGAGTCCAGAAATCATAAAGACTGAGAGCAGACAATCCGAGTTTGTCAGTAAAGGTAATTTATTGGGGGAATTTGTGGCTGGTAAGCATGGTCTGAGTGGTAGCAAGACAGTAGTTCTCCAGGCTGTTACCCCAAGATTTAGGGCTTACTCTAGTGTAGAAAAGAGTAATATGTTTCGAGAAGGGAATGTGCAGAGTACTAGATTGAGCCTTTCCAGAAAGAGAATGAGGTGCACACCGTAGCCTGTAGTTTGTGTGATGACACTCCAGGTAGCTTTGACTCTAAGGAAAGGGCTTTCAGTATATGGGCCTTAAGCATGGCGAAACAGTAGATCAATTAGAAATCTTGAAGGCATTCCCAGAACTGGGGTTAACTCAAAGTCAACATGGTGGATTCGCATCCAAGATGGTTGCCAGCCTCCACAGAGCTCCTCCAGACCCATGGAGCCCTTAGGGTTTATAGACTAGCGAGAATTCTCATCCAGGCAGTTTGATTCTTTTGGTTCTCAAAAAGGAAATGGAATGTATACATCTGCTTCTTATTCTCAAATAATTTCTTCTTTCACTTTATTATTTCTTAAATCTTTCCTTCTTTTCCCTCTTCACAGAAAAAGTTCCAGAAAATTTAAAATCTTTCAGAAAAGACAGTACACTGAGCAGGATTTGCACATCAAGAAAAAGTAGAGGTGAGATGAGAGTCAAGTGTTTTGGGGGTAGAGAAAAGATTAGGCTGGAAGGGATACTGGGCCAGGTGTAGGGGTGTGCACATGTGTGTGTGTGTGTGTGTGTGTGTGTATCTTTCTCACTGAAGGTTTACTTGAAAAACTCCAGCACTGTCTAGTCTGGATTAACAGAATGATGTGTGCTTGCCCCATGGGCAGGTTGGGGGATTTGAGGGCAGGAGACCCTGAATGGAATGTGGTGTTGGCAGCTGGGCTGTTGGGCAGGTGAGATGAGCTGCAGAAGGAGCAGGGCTCTGGTTCCCATGCTCGTCCATCCTGCTGGCATGGAGCTTCCTCCAGGCTGTGGGGTGGGTGGTAGGTGGGGCTTCCTTCCTTTCCCCAGACTAGCCCAGCACCCCCCAGAAGCCAGGGCCCTCTGCTACTGCCTTCTTCTGCACCTCCCACAGGAGGGTCACCCTGTCTGCACCAAGGATGGGGACAGCAGAGGAATCTCACAGGCCAGGTGGGTCTCAATTGGTAAACGAGGGGTGAAATATATATGTGTTTGCTGTGGCCTCACTCTGTCCTTTGCAGACACTGCTAATCAGTCACAGTCACAGGATTCTCACCCCAGTGCTCATTGAGCACTACCAAAAGCTCCACATGGTTTATAAGTATCTGAGACTTTGCATTCCCTGTGGATCCTTCCTGACCAATCTCAGAACCTTCCTGAAATGAGGAAGTGGCATGTCACCGCCCAGTACCCAGGGAAGACCCTGCCCTGTCAGTCAGAGATGGTATCTTGGGTGGCCACTCCTGAGTGTAGGGAAGAGAGGGTTTGTGCAGGAGCTTCCTTGGGGGATCATGGGGTAAGTGATGCCTTGGTCTGGACATAAAGCCTGCGTGTGGAGTGAGAAATTCCAGTGGGGCTGGGACAAAGAGGTGCTGCTCAACCAGGCCTAATACACTCTTGTCCCCTCCCACCATAGCTGAGCCTGATGGGAATGTGACACTCATAGACTCCAGAGGATGGGACTCTGGTCAGCGGTGGTGTTGGGGTGTGGGGTGAAGGCAGGTGGGACAGGGCCTAGTGTGGGAGGAGCCATTTTCTTTGTGAGGGCCTGGGCACAGCTGGGCCTCTTGGGCTCTGTTTCGTCCTCTGGCAATGAACAAATGATGAGCCTGTTGTGCAGGCCTCACAGCGCTGATGGGACTCGGGAGGAAGGGAATTTGAGGATGCTTGGTGCCTGGCTCTTCCCACGGCTGATGATGGGTGGAGAGCAATGCTGAGAGTCACATGAAACCGAGTCCTCAGGGAGGCCTCAGTGAGGAAGGTGTGGTTCCCATCACACTTCCCTCTTTGAGAAAACAGTGTCAGGAGGCCTGGCCGCCTGCCCAAAGTGACAGGCAGTGTTGGGATTGGGAGTGAATCTAGAATCAGGGCTCACTGAAGGTGGTAGGAGCATTGCAACAGCTGACGGCCGGTTATCCAGGATCTGAGGTCAGGGGCTGATCCTGCAGCAGGTGGGGACTCCCAGATTGGGCACATGCTGAGACGAACCCTGACAGCGCAGATGAGGCTGTGGGGCAGCAGGTGAGTGGGTCTGTGGTGGGAGGGGCTCCAGGGAGTCCAAGAACAGACTTCTTTCCCAGCTGGAGGCTCTACACTCAAGAGAGCAGGAGATCTTTCGCCTCAGCCCTGCTCCTCCTGTATTACAGGGCCTGAAATGCCTCCATTAGAGAGACCAGAGAAACCACCTAGGTGAGCTTGGGCTCAGCAGTAGATTTGGGAACGATGGGACAGGGGACACCATGACCTTGCGACTTGTTAAAATCCTATCATACAAGTAACTGGGGGTGTCTGGTGGCTCGAGCCCATCTGGGGAGATAGGGAGAGGAGGGAGGAGGGCTGAGGGAGGCAGCTGAGGGTCCTCTGGGCTGTTGCAAGTGGGAGGACCTGGGGAGGGGGTGTCCGGGCAGGAGTGGTTGGCGATTTAGGGACAGGTCCTGGGTGGGCACTGATACCGGGAGCTTCCCCACTACGACCACCCTGCACGGCCCAGGGGGATGTGCTGTCTCTGGGCAGTTTCACTTACTCTGAGAAGCTTGCACACTGCCGTGCAGGACTGTGTGAAAGGGAGTGAGGCTGGGGCAGGCAGGTCGGGCAATCGATCCTGAGGCTTGAAGAGAAAGCCCTGGACCCAGCCCTTCCATCTCAGCAAGGCCTCTCCTCAGAGCCCCATGGTCCTCCCCATGCCCCGTGAGGCTGGGGCCAGGCCTATCTTACCTCTGAATGGTGGAGGCTCCAGAGCAGCTGCCAGTCCCTGCTCCTTGAGTGGTGAAGCTGCAGAGCTGCCTGACTGCAAAGCGCTGCAGGAGCTGCAGGAGCCGACTCAGCCTCCCCACTCAGAGATGCCCATGGAAGGAGAGGGAAATTAGCCTCCCAGGCTGTGTTAGCTTCAAGCATTTTCTTTCTATACAAGGCCTCCGTTTGCCTGTCTGTTTTCAGAGACTGTTGGGGCAGAAGGTCCCTGAGCCACAGCTCCCACACCTCCTCATCTAGAGCCCAGAGCCTGATGCAGGTCCCAGTGCTGTTCTGTGCACATTTCTCACTCCCCGCTGGCCTGGCATCAGTGCAGGATGGGAGGGTGTGGGGATGGGGCAAGCCATGGGCCAGGGCCTCTGAGAGTCTTTGGCTGGCTGTCTCCAGGGAAAATGTGATCAACATCCAGAAAGGAGAAAGGGGAGCAGGTGGGCCTCACTTGGGAGGGTGGGATATGGAAGTCAGAGACTCCCACCCACTTACCCTGGGTACAACACTCCCTGGCTCCATCCTCTGCATCCTGGATTTATTGGGAGGGTTTGATACACAGAGGAGACTCATCCTAATGGAGGGTGTGTGGGTAGGGACAGGAATCATGGACAAATTCCTAGGGCTGTTTATCTGTTTATATCCAACTCTGAGAAAGGCTGGGACTGCATGGGATTGGAGAAGAGGGGCCCATTAAGAGAAAAGCCTCAGAGATCGGCCTCAGTTTACTCCCTCCCTAAGGGCCCTTCAGCATCTTCCACCCACGCCCTGTCAGCCTCCTATCCTTCCCTCTGGCTCCAGGAGATCAAAGTCCTCCAAAAATGCAGCTGCTTCAGTGACAAGAGGGAATTATCTTCAGACTCAGGAGGAATATGGGGTTTATTTCAAGTCCATGGAGTGGCACAGTCTGATTGAGAGGTGAGAACTTAGCGGACTGACAGAAGGTGGGTGGAGACTGTCTTGTGGTCAGTTTCAGACAGCCTGTGGCCACGGCTCCCTGGTCAGCAGCAGGCCCTGTTGAATGGGAACTCTGGGCAGGGACTGGGAGGGAGGCCTGAGGTGTGGCTCCTGCAGCCTCACAGCTGCTGCTCTGTCCTACAACTACAACCTGTCCTGCCACGGAGCCCCCATCCTAGGAGGCCAACCACGCCCTCAAGGCCAAGAAGACCAGGCCATGAAGAATCTCAGGTGCACTGAGTGCCCAGGTGGCAGGGGCAGAAGGCCTCAGGGCTCAGTGAAGTTTGGGCTGAGCATGGGCTCTGGGAGTCAGACAGTTGCACTGGACTCTCAGCTCCACCATGACCAGCCCTGTGACTGGAGGAGGGGACTCACTGCTGTAGTATTTGGGCATCATTTTAATAAATTTAATGTGTTCATCCAATCATTTTTTTCTTAATCTATCTTCCTCTATAATCACCATGTACTAATGATCGCTGTTAGTGATTGTGTTCAAATGAATAAACTTGTTATATAGTGTGTATTATACTTCCTCATGATTTCTTCACTATACTGTATGACTCCACTCATACATGGTACTTAGAGTAGTTGACAGAAATACAAAGTAAAAGACTGGTTCCCAGGGCTACAGGAAAGTAGGTGCGGTGTTTAATAGGTACAAAGTTTGAGTTTTGCAAAAACACTCCCTATAAATGCGGAGGATGCTTGTAAAACAGTGTGAATGTACTTAATTCCTTTGACCTGCATACTTAAAAATTGTTAAAATGAAAAAAAAATTGTTGGCTGGGTGCAGTGGCTCACGCCTGTAATCCCAGCACTTTGGGAGGCGGAGGTAGGTGGATCACCTGAGGTCAAGAGTTTGAGATCAGCCTGGCCAACATGGTGAAGCCCCGTATCTACTAAAAGTACCAAAATTAGCCAGGCATGGTGGGTCTTAAGGGTCTTAAGACAGAGGGTCTTAAAGGATTCTACCCTTACTACACCAGTCACCCTACACTGGTCATGCACTTAGCCTCTTGGGGCCCTGCATGTGTCCTCTTCATTGGAGCTGTGAAGAGTTCTAGTTAGGGATAGATCTCATTCTTACATGCCTCAGGCTGCTTAGAAAGCTGATCATCTTGTCTTTGGACTCATGGACATTGTTCCTTTTGTGTATTTTGAAGTCCGATGCGGTTTTTTTTTTTTTTTTTTTTTTAAAACAACGTGGACGCTTGCATTAATAGTCACTTTTAAATATCTTTGTGAATTTAACTCTGGCAACAACTTGAAGTTGACATGCGATCCCCATTTTATAGGTGATGGAACTGACACTCGGAGAGGTAGAGTAGCTTTATTTACTTCACACAAGCTGTGGATGAATTTCAAATCTCAACCTAGAAGGCTTCCTCTAAGGTATGATCATGACATATTCTCCTTTGTTTCTCTGCCAGCATCCCAAAGGGGTCCACATCCCATTAGGACTCTATTTTCTTCTTAATGACAGGAAACTTGCAGAAACAGGCCTTTGGTTGGGGAGAGCACTTGCTGGCACTTGGCCTTCCCTGTCCTCTGCCTTCCCCTTGTCAGGGTGTAGGTGATTTGAGGGAGCTGGAGCAGCGGTAGATCCCAACCACCACTCACCTGGAATGCTTGTTGTTTTGTAAAGATAACACCCTCTCACTTTTTTAGGTGTGATTTTTTTTTCTGTTCTAATTATTCCTCTGGGCTTTCTCTTCTAGATTCGTGCTGTGCACTAACATGCAATACAAATACTGATGAAAATAAAACTATTGCCCTCCTACCAAATGGTAATAGTGCTTACATTTTTCCTCTTTTTCTAATTATAAAAGAAATGCATGCTGTTTTAAGAATGTCAGATCATAGAGATCTTTATGTAGTGAAAATCTCCCATGTCTTCCTCTTTGTTCCAAACTCACTCCCTTCTTAGAAGGAATTATTATAGCTTGGGGTTTATTTTTCTGGATGTTTTCTATAAATTTATAAATACATATAAAGTTGGCCAGGTGCAATGGCTCACGCCTGTAATCCTAACACTTTGGGAGGCTGAGTAGGGAGAATCACTTGAGCTCAGGAAGTTGAGGCTGCAGTGAGTTGTGATCATGCCATTGCACTCTTATCTGGGTGACAGAGTGAGACCCTGCCTCCAAAAAAAAAAAAAAAAAAAAAAGATAAATACCTGTACAGTTTTTGAACACATTATATCATACTATATTGTTTTTTATTTTGCTAATTCACAAGCAATATATCAGTTATGTTATTCCATATCAGTGCATGAGATTCTAACTCTCTCTTTTTTTTTTTTTTTTTTTTTTTTTGAGATGAAATCTTGCTCTGTCGCCTAGGCTGGAGTGCAATAGCACGATCTCAGCTCACTGCAACCTCCACCTCCTGGATTCAAGTGATTCTTCTGCCTCGGCCACCCAAGTAGCTGGGATTACAGGTGTGTGCCACCATGCCTGTATTTTTAGTAGAGACGAGGTTTCACCATGTTGGTCAGGCTGGTCTTGAACTCTTGACCTCAAGTGATCCTCCCGTCTCAGTCTCCCAAAGTGTTGGGATTACAGGCGTGAGCCACAGCACCAGGCCTCTATTTTTAATGTCTCAAATATATTCCAAAGAATGGGTATACAAGACTTGTTTCACTGTTTATTCTTTGATAGAAACTTAGATTATTTCTAGTTTCATCGTTATTAAAAAATGCAGCGATAAGATTCCTTTAAATAATTTATTACACTGATGACTAACTGTTCAGTTTATCTTGCCTTCTTTTAGTCAGAGAATATGTCATGAGTTTAATATTTATTTTATGATTGGATTCTTAGGGAAATTAATGTTATGACTGGATAAAGACAATTGTGAAGAAACTGCGTTTCGAGGTTGTCTATCTCTGTATTCTGATGGAAAAGCGTGGAGTTTAGAAGCATTGCTCGCTCTTTCAGTTTCTAACAAATCCGTGTTCTCATAGCAATTTAAATTTAAATGTTTGAATTGCTTCTCCTTCCCTGGTTCAGAATAAGTATGTTGTTTTTCTGTTTGTGAAACTTCTGACTCCGGGTTTTTTCAGTTGGGCTTTAGAGAGGATAACTCCCATATTGCTGTTGTATCTATTTATCTTCAGCATCTGGCTGCGTGTGATAAAGATCATAGAATTAGACCTGGTCCTGTATGTATTTTGGGACCAAAAATTCAAAGTAATCAACTCAAGATAGAAGTCTCCAACTTTGATTCTTAATAAAAGATATCCTTTGATTTCCCTAAATCTTTATGATTCCTAGAAGAAATTCACCCATGGATGAAGCATGTGGCTGAAGAAATTCACCCGTGGGTGAAGCATGTGGTTCTGTTGAATAATGTTTTGTTGGGGATTTCCACATCGAGTTTCATGAGGCATATTGTTTTACGGGGTTTTTGTTTGTTTGTTTGTTTTTGGTACTGCCTTTCCCTGATTCTACTGGAGAGTAATACTATCTTCCTAAAATATATTGGGAAATGTTCCCTCTTCTATTTTTGGACAATATTAAACTCATAATGACAAGTTTTTTTTGTGAAAATGCTTTGAAAAAAATGTAGGGTAGGCTGGGTGCAGTGGCTCACACCTGTAATTGCAGCACTTTAGGAGGCTGAGGCAGGCAGATCACGAGGTCAGGAGTTTGAGACCAGCCTGACCGACATGGTGAAATCCCGTCTCAGCTAAAAACACAAAAATTAGCCGGGCATGATGGCGTGTGCCTGTAATCCTAGCTACTCAGGAGGCTGAGGCAGGAGAATCACCTGAACCCAGGAGGCGGAGGTTGCAGTGAGCGGAGATCACGCCACTGTGCTCCAGCCTAGGCAACAAAGCAAGACTCTATCTCAAAAAAAAAAAAAAAAGTAAAAAGAAAAGTGTAGCGTGCCTTTTCCTTTTGTACTGCATAATATTATTTATCTTGATTGTATTTACCCATATACCTGCCAATGCTTTAATGAGCCCTCGTCTTCTACCCTCCAGTCTCACCATACTTCAGCCCCTCCTCCCTACTTTCTGGTACTGAGCCCCGTGTTTTTCTCTCCTCACATTCTCAACCCTGTCTCTTTAACGTGAGGACTTCCATGCTCTGCCTATATCCTCCCACCCTGCACTGCCAGGAGGCTCTGCAGGCTCTAAGCTAGGGCAGCAACATGGTCCCCTCTCTGGGTTTCAGCCTGCAGACCACTGTCCTGTGCTTCTTGCAGATGCTGCTAGTGTCTGGAAACATCTGGTTCATGTGGTTGGTCTGGCTTCCTGTGTGTTTGGTGCCAGAGGGAGTCTGTTTGTTGCTCTTCCACCATACAGAGAAGGCAGAGCTCTGAATTGATTTTGAAATAAATTATCGGTTATTTCGTTTGGACTGAAATAAATCATCTATTACTTTATGATGACATAAATATTGTAGCTTAGTTTGTGGTAGTTATAATTTCATGTTTATTTATTGTTTTACAGGCCATGCCACCATGCCCAGCTAATGTTTTATTGTTTGGCAGAGGCATGGTCTCACCTAGGTTCATGCAACTGTCCCACCTTGGCCTCCCAAAGCACTGGGATTACAGGCATGAGCCACTGCGCTTGGCCAATAGTTAAAATTTTAGATTAATATGTATGGTACTGTGATTAGCCATATTTAACTTATTCAGAGACAAGGCTTTAATAAAAAATTACTTCATGTTAGAATATTTTTCTTTGATTTTTTCAAATTAGTTTTCATTTTTTTTTCTCTAATCTTTTTGTTTTACCCTCAGTCACCTTTACCCTGAGTTTCCATCCTGGGCAGCAGAAGCAGCTCCATGGATGATGGGCCTGTGGCTCTCTACTTGGAGCTCTTACCAAGTAAGACTTTGAGACCAGGAGGGGGCCACAGGCCTCTTTTCAGGACAGATATATGAGCGAAAATCAAAGGAAGAGCCCTTCCAGGTTAGGAGTACTTGGCCAAAATCTTTTTGCTTTCAAGGTTTCTTTTTGTTTGTTGGTTTTTGTTTTGTTTTGTTTTGCTTTGTTTTAAGACAGGGTCTCACTCTGTTGCCCAGGCCAGAGTGCAGTGGGGGGATTTTGGCTCACTGCAACCTCTTCCTCCTGGGTTCAAATGACTCTCTTGGCTCAGCCTCTCAAATAGCTGGGTTTACAGGCTCACATCACCGTGCCCCGATAATTTTTGTATTTTTAATCCATGTTGGCCAGGCTAGTCTTGAACTCCTGACCTCAGGTGATCCACCTGCCTTGGCCTCCCAAAGTGCTGGGATTAAGGGCATTAGCAACTGTGCCCAGCGAGTTTTTGAGTCTTTATCCACCATTGAACACAATAAATATCCAGACACACAGATGTTTCCCGACACGTCTATGAGTTTAGAGATTGGTCATTTCTTTTTCCAGTGATCCTGGTTTTACCATCTTCCAGCAGCAGATACAAGGCCTCCTTAAGCCCTTTTGGTGTAGAGGGAGGGTCTTTGAAAAGCACCAGGTATACATTGTATTTCAGGATGCATCCACATTTCTCTGTCTCTTCCAGGCCAGTTCTTGGAGAGACCAGGAAGCCAAGAGTTTCCTCCAAGAATGGGGATACCTTGGAAGAGAGATTCATTTTGAGTCAAGAAAGACGAATCACATGCAGTCATAGGCAATTGCCCAGGGTCTCAAAAACAGGGCCAGAAAGAAGAGCTGGAGCTGGTGGGATTGTGGGGGTCCTCTCTCCCACCTGAAAAGCTACTGCTGCCTGCTGACCCTCTCAGGAAGAGACCTCTCTGGTCTCCAGCACCTAAAACAGACAAAATTGGGAGGATGCTTCTCTCCTCTGTGTCACACATGTCCTAGAGAAAATCTGTGTATCTGAATGACCAAAGAAAACTATGAGAAAAAATGCAAAATCTGTGCCAGGCCATTCAGTGTCTAGTTGGGGCTCTGGGGTGTATGTACATTTGAAGAAAACTGAAGGGTGCTAAGCCTGCAGGAAATGTCCCTCAGACCTGCCTGTCACACCTGGAGTATGACTGCCCATCCAGGTTCATGATGCAGAACTGTCTTTAAAAGGCCACTGTAGATATGGAGTGATAGAACATGATAGAACATGTTCATCTAACACTGATAGAACATGACCAGCTCTCCCGCTGGGGAAAGCCACATCCACTAGTGACATGCTGCTTAAACTGGCCCAGACCACACTCTACTACCTAAGGAATAAACCCCACATTTGCTCTTTTTGGGTGAAGGCAGAAGGTGAGACAGGAGAGGAGTGTCCACACAGACATGAGAAGCCTGCAGATCCAGATGACCCCCTTGCTGATCAGCACATTAAAGATCGACGTATGGAAACAATGACCCTGTAGCAGATCAGCTTCTACAGCAGGCTTCAACGATGCGTCACCTGGACCCACTGGCAGAGAAGTCTGCCCCCACTCTATGTTGATGATCTGGGGGATAAAATTACTGAGACAGATATAAGAAATGATCTCTATCTGTTGGCGAGATCCGGACAGTCACTGTTATGCAGAGACAGAAGTGTGCTCTCATCAGCTTTCCACAGGGCAGGCTGTGGAAATGTACATTGTACATTGATTGTCCATGGCTACAGACTCACCGTCAAATGGGGGAAGATTCCAAGCCTTCAAGGAAACCCTGAAGAGCGGTCACAGGGGACCCTCATTCACTGCTGTGCCTTCTCGCTGTTCCTAGATTTATTCCAGTTGTTAAGCATTCGTGGCCATTTATCTGTGCATCTGATGCCGTGATGTTTTTGCTGTAGGTAACTGATGGAGTGAGTTGAGCTGCCAGGCTTCCTGGAGTGATTCTTGGATGCTGGGTCATGTGCTTAGGGGCCCTGATGGGACTGAACTAGAAGGAGCCAGAATAGGACAGAACCCAACCCCTGATGAGTGGCCACTGGTGGCCTGGCCTCAGGACCACAGGACACACTGTTCCCAGGGCACAGACACCCTGGGCTTTTGTTGGGTCTTGGCCTCCAGGTAGGGCCTGGTGGGCAGCGGGCAGCGACTCCTGAGACACTACTTTGATTCTCAGTGGTGGCTGTGGTAAAAGACCTGCAGAGCTAGAGTTTAGTGTGAGATTCAGGAGGAACTGTGGCCTCTCCCAGTGACAGTGCGTCACTCCCATTCCCAGCACGCATGCGCACAGGCCACGGCCTCCGCATCACACACCCCCCACCAAGTCACCCATCCATGGGACAGCTCCCATGCAGCAGGGTCAGGCTCTTACCTCCACCTCCAGGGCACAGACAGGGGCAGCTCTGTCTCACTGTAAGGCAATGAGGAGAGCTGAGGACCTGGACAAGGCTGTGGGCCATCCCCTTTCCCGAGCAGGCCTCAGGGAAGGACCAGTCCCATCCCCATCCAACCCAGGTCTCAGCCCAGGAGGCTGCATAGGGAAGAAAGGACAGCCAGGGCCTCCATGCTGGCTGACACTCAGGAGGGGCCGGGGCAAGAGAGCAGAGGGAGTGCAAGGCCAGGCAGGGGCTGCTGAGGATCCATGGGGGCTCAGGCTGCACAGTGAGGCTGCCCCTCCTGGGTTGCAGGCAGCATCCCCTATGGGAGCTGAGAAAGTCCAGTCCTGAGATGGGACAGGGCTGCCCAGGGGTGTGTGGCTGGGCCCTGACAGCAGTCTCCCAAAAAGTGACCACATCACCAGGCTGAGTTCCAGGAAGCCTGAGAAGTGTCCAGTACACCAAGGATGCACCTGGAGCCCATTCTGTCTAATAGACTCTGACCATCTTGCATCCACCTGCCTCTCCTGCATATCAGCCACCACCCCTTCCCTTTTCCTCATTTCTCCATCGTGTGTAACCCAGAGACTGTGACCCTCTCTCCAGCCACAGTGGCCCTTCTTTTAGCCTTGTCCTGTCAGAGACCCTGAGCAAGACTCCCCAGACCCATCCACAGGCCTGCCTTGTCCACTTACTAATTGCTGTGCTGTGCACTGCTGGGGTGGCACGACAGGCAGTGAGGGTAACTGAAGGCCCCACAGGTGGCCAGCTTGGCCCTTTACCGCATCGCTAGCCTCAGAGGGTTCTCAGGGTTGTCAACCAGCAGCCCTGGCTTGGGACACCTGGCTGTCCTCCTCCCACGGTTCTTTTCTGACTCTTCTGATTCAGCCTCTCCCGCCTGTCCTTTGTCCGTGGTGATGACCAAGCCAGCAGGGAGCAGGTCCCCAGAGGGTGCTGCTGAGCTTTGGAGACCGACCTAGGCTCCTTTGCTGAGGGGTCCGAGGTGAGTCGCTGCCCCTGGTTCTACGTCATCTGCCGTCCTCTTCAGCACCATCCCCCTCACCCTAGGCCGGCTCCATGCAGATGCATCCCTGAGTCACCAGTCTCAGGGTCCTCTGTTGTAGGATGGAGATTACTATACTTGCTGTACACATTCATATTTATAAAGTGTAGAATCTAAAGTAAATGACTACTTTGATTTGCAGTTTCCTGATGTTAAGCACTTATTAGCCATTTTTATATATATATATATATTTTTTTTTTTTTTTCCTGAGACGGAGTCTCGCTCTGTTGCCCAGGCTGGAGTGAAGTGGCACAATCTCAGCTCACTGCAAGCTCTGTCTCCTGGGTTTACGCCATTCTCCTGCCTCTGCTTCCCGAGTAGCTGGGACTACAGGCACCCACCACCACGCCTGGCTAATTTTTTAAATTTTTAGTAGAGACAGGGTTTCACTGTGTTAGCCAGGATGGTCTTGATCTCCTGACCTCGTGATCTGCCCGCCTCGGCCTCCCAAAGTGCTGGGATTACAGGAGTGAGCCACCACACCGGGTGCATTTTTATATCTTTTTTAAAAGATAAATGTTTATTCAGGTTCTTGTTTTTAAATTAGGTTGTTAGATTTTGGTGAGTTTTCTCTCTCGCTTTTTTCTATTTAGTTGTGTGGGCTTCTTATGTATTTTGATATTAACCCCTTATGAGATATATTGTTAGCAAATATTTTCTCCGAGTTCATAAGCTGCTTTTTAATTTCATTGATTGATTTCTCCTGTGCAGAAGCTTTCGGGTTAGATGTACTCCTACTTGTATTTTTGTTTTTTGTTGCTTGTGCTTTTAATGTCCTATTTAATAAATTATCTGAACTAATGTCAAGTAGCATTTACCCTTATGTTTTCTTCCAGGAGTTTTACAGTTTCTGGTTAAATAACAATGGGATATCACCTCCCGTCTGTTAGGATGGCTGCCATAAAAAGGACAAAAGATAACAAGTGTTGGTGATGGTGTGGAGAGAAGGAAACCCTTGTATGCTGCTGGTTAGAATGTAAGTTAGTACAGCCATTATGGAGAACAGTAGGAAGGTTCCTAAAAATCTAAAACTAGAACTACCATGTGGCTCAGTAATCCCTCTTATAAGTTATATATCAACAGGAAATGAAACCAGCATCTTGTAGAAATATCTGCACTCCCCTCTTCCCTGTGCCCCACCACAGCATCGCTCCCAACAGCCAAGTTATGGGACCAAGTTACTGTACATTGATGGACAAGTGGAGAAAAAAATGTGTGTGGAGGTGTTTGTGTGTGTGTGTGTGTCTAAAATATCATATAATATTTTTCAACTTGTAAAAAGGAGAAGATACTGCCATTTGTGTAACATAAATGAACCTGGAGGATATTAAGCTAAGGGAAATAACGGAGAGAAAAATACTGCATAATTTCTGTTATATATAAAATCTCGAAAAAGATTAAATACCTATATAGAGACAGGACAGAATGATGACTGGGGGAAAAAGAGACACAAGTCAACATTTCAGGTACATAAAATAAATGAAATCTAAAGGACTAAAGTACAGTTTAAAGGTTATAGTTACTATTTTTATATGATATACTGATAATTTTTTAACACGGTAAACTTTAGGTGCTTTGACACCAAAAGGAAACTACATGAGCTCATGCATATGTTAAATTGTTTTACTGTAGTCCTCATTGATATGTATATGTACATATACATATAAAATTATGGGCTCATTAAATTTAAATATTATAAATAGGTAACAAAGAGTAAAGTTAATTGGAAAACTGCATCATTAGACTTGATTTTGCCTAAATGACAAACTGAAACTATCTCCTAAATGTTAATATTTGTACATCATATACACTTCATATATTGGAAATATGTTTAAAGAAGAGGAATTATAAATTTTAATAAACACAAAATGACCCAGTAAATGCAAAACGGTAGAAAGAGAAGAAAATCTGATTAATCAGAGTGATTAATGCTTAGATATTATTAATGATGTGTTATGTGCAATTTCAAGCCACTTACATATAGATTTAATACCAAAGAGTTTAATGTGTACACACAGATTAAATAAAAAATTGATACATTTACAGTATTAATTGATATTAAAATGATCATGGAAATCAACTGTCTGGTATAGAAAAAATAAGGAGTGTTGAGTAACTATTAGAAAGTTTGAAATTTTATTAGAAAGTTAATCAAGTGGAAAAGTGATCAGCATTTTTGAGTACTAAGAAGAGGATGGATGTAATTTTCCAATAATTTTCCAATACCAAGAAAATCATTTAATATTGAAAGCTTTTAAACCTAAATTAGTGTCTTTAACTTCACAAAGGCAGAAATCCTATAAGCAATGTTTCTTGAACACTGTGTAAAATGACAATAAAAATTAAAGTGTAACCAACAAGTAAGGTGTAGCCACATGAAAATTTCCTTTCAGGTTGTTTTCTTATTTTTTAATTTTATGTGAATTTTTATTTCAGTAGGTTTTTGGGGAACAGGTCGTGTTTTTTGGGGGGTATGATTTCTCAGATCAGTTCATTGTATTTTTGCATTTAACGCTTGATATTATGAATTGAATAATTTTTTAGTTCTGTACACCTTAAGACAATAATATGTTTAATTTATATGTAAATTAGCCACATGTCTGTTGCCTATAGACATATCTGTGTGTTTTCACCTATGTAAATATTGTCCCTACTTTGGTTATGACATCTTTTTTTCCTTTTTTTTTTTCTTTTTTTTAGAAAGAAAATTTTAAAACAGAATCAAAATAATGGAAATCAGTTATCTGTCCTCTTACAGGGCAGGGAGAAAACCTCCTTCCCCGCAAGTTCAAGACTATGGTTAGGTGGTGAGGAAGGCGGGCTCAGCACCCAAGCCTTGCGGAGACACAAAAAGGGCCCATCCCAGGCACTCAGCTGGAGGTAAGCATAGCATTTGGGCCATAAGACCTCATGGTCCTAGGTTACTGGTCTGGAAACAGGTCCTCATCTTCCCAGAAATGTCATCTTTTGTCTGCAGCAGCTGGCTGGAGAAAGAGTTCAGAGAGGTGTGTGCCTGGGGCACCCAAAGGCATCCCCTTTCTTTCTCCTTGGCAGAGGCCTTACAACACTGAGGAAAGGCCATGGTTTGGTGATGGAGCCTTCAATAGTTTTCATCCCTATGGATCAAAAAGATTGTCCAAATAGAAGCTTATAGAGGATGTTAAAAAGTAAACTGATAGGTCTATGAAAATTGTCTCCCAACAGAGTACAACTATTTTTTTTTGACACAGAGTCTCTTGCTCTGACACCCAGGCTGGAGTACAGTGGCATGATCTTGGCTCACTGCCACCTCCACCTCTGGGGTTCAAGTGATTCTTCTGCCTCAGCCACTCGAGTAGCTGCGACTACAGGTGCATGCCACCACGCCCGGCTAATTTTTTGTATTTTTAGTAGAGATAGGGTTTCACCATGTTGGCCAGGATGGTCTTGATCTCCTGACCTTGTGATCCGCCTGCGTCTGCCTCCCAAAGTGCTGGGGTTACAGGCGTGAGCCACGGCGCCCAGCCCATTTTTAAAAAAATATAGAAATATTAGTAAAATTGTTATCAAAGTCACTGTGGAGCTTTCTAAAAACTTAAAATAGAATTACCACATTATCCAGCAATTCCATTTGCAGATATATAACCAAATGAAATAAAATTAGTATCTAGAAGAGACATCTCTGCTCCCATATTTATTGTGCAATTATTTACAATGACAGATATGCATATAACCTAAGTATTCATTCATAAATGAATGGATAAAATAATTGTGGTGTGTTTATATAATGGAATATTATTCAGCCATAAAAATAAGAAAATCCTGTTATTTACAACTATATCAATGAACCTGGAGAACAGTAGACTTAGTGAAATAAGCCAGAGAATAAGAAATATTGTTTGATTTCACTTATATGTGAAGCCTAGAAAGTCAAAGTCATGGAAACAGAGAATACAAAGTGGTTTGCAGGAGCTGTGGGTGGAGAAATGGAGGGTTGCTAATAAAAAGTGCAAACAGTGGGAGAAATGGAGGGTTGTTAATAAAAAGTGCAAACTTTCAGGTATAAAATAAACAAGTTCTGGTGGTCTACTGCACAGCATGGATGTTACTGAAAGTTATCTTAGTCTGTTCCAACTGCTGTAATAAAATACCTTAGAATAGATAATTTATAAACAGTATAAACTGAGTTCTCACAGGTATGGAGGCTGAGAAGTCCAACTCAAGGCATCAGCAGGCTAGGTGTCTGGTGAGGGTCCAGTCTCTGGTTCCAAGATGGCACATTAAAAGCAATGTCCTCACACAGCAGAAGGACAAAATAGGCCAAACTCATTTTCTCAAGCCATTTTACAATGGCAGCTAATTGCATTGGTAAGGGCAGATTTTTCACGACCTAGCCACCAACTAAAGTCTCCATATTATAATACTATTGTATTAAGGATTAAGTTTTAAAATAAATTTGGGAGGGACACAAATATTTGAACAATAGGACTTATATTAATTTAATTAATTGTGAAAATGATTAGACAATGTGTGCATGTATCAAGTCAACACATTGCACACCCTGAATATATACAAGCCTCACTTGTCAATTAACATTTTTAAATTAATAAAATAAAATAAAATGTGGAAGTAATTTATCCTTTGAGCAATAAAAAAGTCTACTGAAGATTTTTAACACCAAAACTCACTTTGGCTGTTTGGTGTGAGATTGCTAAAAACTGAAAAATGCAGAAAGAAACAGAAAGAATCACACACAGTCTTCACAAAAAAGTCAGCTCTGCGAATGAGGTGGTGTTAATTTGGGTGAGGCAATGACAAGTGATGGCAAATAAAAATAACCCTAAGATAACATTTTCAGAATAAATTAAATTTTGTTAGCTTTCTGGAAAAAATTACATTACTAGCCATGCAACAAACCTACTTTGTAAAGGTGTTGAAACCAAATTTTAAGTATAAATTATGATGTATTAAAAAACAAAAAGAATATCTTTGTGGTCTTAGAAAAAAATGTGTTAAATGAACAAGTAAGTAGAATATACATTTTCAAATAGAGAAAAAAATCATTGAAAATTGCAAAATTTTAGGCTCCAAAAGACTCACTAATTTAAAAAAAGCATAAATCTTACAGCTAGAAAATCTACAGATAAAAAGTATATTTTTCAGCTTGGAAATCAAAATAGAAACTACAAATTCAGTTGTAACCAATAAATAATATATTTCTACATATCGTGTAATTTTTTGTTGAAAACGAGACATTTTGAATATTATAGTAATTTTGAAATCAGATTACCATCCTTCTTCTGTGTTTTTGTTGCTACGTATTGTGATGTGTGCTCTGTCATACATTGATGTCTCTGTTCCATTAGCTTGGTGGTAAGCTAGTGATTTGCAGAGATTTCCTTAAATTTTTGTTATTTCCCCACTTCCTCCAAATAAATTTTATAATGTTCTCTTTTGGGTATGTGTATGTGTGTGTGTGTGTGTGTGTGTGTGTGCATGTGTGCTGGAGCATGCCTTTACTAATCATCCAGAAAGTTACAACTTGGTTCTTGCCTTACTTTCTGCTGATGCAGAGTTTGAAAGTCAAACAAGGGTGAATACTGAGGGTCTTCCTGGGATTTTCTTTTCTTTTTTCCTTTTTTTTTTTTTTTTTTTTTTTGAGACGGAGTTTTGCTCTTGCTGCCCAGGCTGGAGTGCAATGGCGCGACCTCAACTCACCGCAACCTCCACCTCCCGGGTTCAAGAGATCCTCCTGCCTCAGCCTCCCGAGTAGCTGGGATTACAGGTGTGTGCCACCACACCCCACTGATTTTGTATTTTTAGTAGAGATGAGGTTTCTCTATGTTGGCCAGGCTGGTCTCGAACGCCTGACCTCAGGTGATCCACCCGCCTTGGCCTCCCAAAGAGCTGGGATTACAGGTGTGAGCTACCATGCCCAGCCCTCTTCCTGGGTTTTTCTAGACCACATACCTGGCCTTGAGCCTCCACATGACCTCCTAAATTTCCTAGACTATTATCACAGCCCAATCCCCAAAGTGTCCCATTCCCCAGTCTTTCCTTCTAGGGTTTTTTTTTTTTTTTTTCATGATTATTTTTTCCTCTATTAGTATATTTTATCCCAGGACAGTCAGATAGTATATTCATTTAAAAGTTTGGGAGAACTATTATTGACTTGAGATTTTTTTTTGTTATTGAGTTTTTTTTGTTATTGACTTGAGATTTGTCTTTCTTTTATAAGGAAGAAATTCACTGGTATAGGTTTCCCTCAAAACACTGCTTTCACTAATTTCCATAAGGTTTATGTTTTGGTTATATTTTCATTTATGTTAAAACACTTTCTGATAGTATTTGTGGTTTTCTTTTGATCCATAAATTATTTGGGAGTTTGCCATTTAATGTCCACATACTTATAAGTCTCCTAAATTTCTTGCTTTCAGTGATCTCTGATTCTCTTTTATTATAATTAGAAATCACCCATTGTATTATCTCAATCTCTATTTTTACTGATGTATGTTTTATGGCCCAACAGGTGGTCTGTCCTAGAGAATGTTCCATGTGAATTTGCGAAGAATACATATTCTCATGTTGGATGCAGTGCTGCGTATATGTTTGTTAGGTTTAGTTGTTTTATAATGTTCATGTTTTCTATTTTTTATCTTCTGTCTACTTGTTCTATCCATTAATGTAAGTGGGGCATTAAAGTCTCCAACTATTGTTGTTGAACTATCTATTTCTCCCTTTATTTCTGTCATTTTTGCTTCATGTATTTCTGTGCTTATTTGATAACTGCATATATGTGAGTAATTTTTTATATTTTCCTGATGACTTTACCCTTTGCCATACAAAATGTCTTTGTCAGTATATATTTTTTTGTTTTGTTTCATTTCGTTTTTGAGACAGAGTCTTGCTCTGTCACCTAGGCTGGAGTGCAGTGGCACGATCTTGGCTCACTGCAACCTCCGTCTCCCAGGTTCAAGTGATTCTCCTGTCTCAGCCTCCTGAGTAGCTGGGATTACAGATGCCTGCCACCATGCCTGGCTAATTTTTGTATTTTTAGTAGAGATGGGGTTTCACCATGTTGGCCAGGCTGGTCCTGAACTCCTGACCTCAGTGATCCACTTGCCTCAGCCTCCCAACGTGCTGGGATTACAGGTGTGAGGCAGTGCCCAGCTGCTTCTTGCAAGTTTTTGAAAATGTCAGTGAAGAAGCAGTTGTGTCATGTTTTGAAATAAATTTCCATTTACAAACACAGGAAGAGGACACATTCCTGGATTCCAAACATAGGTCAAGCTGGCCCTCCTTATTTATTGGTTCTGCATTCCTGGATTCAACAAATGAGCCTCAAAAATATTTTTAGTAAGGTTTCTGTACTGAACATTTATAGAATTTTATTTTTCTTTTCACTATTCCCTAAACAATACAGTATAACAACAATTTAGGTATTAAAAGTAATCTAGAGAAGATGTAAAGTATGTAGGAGAATATGCATAGGTTTTATGTAAATATTATGCCATTATAAATAACTTGTGCATCCATGCATTTTAGTATACAAGAGGACTCCTAGAACAAATCCTCCAGAAATAGCAAAGAAATATGATAAAGAGTTTACAGTATTCATAAAACTCTAGCTCCTTACTAGAACAGCTCGATGAAATAAAAGATGGACTTGAGACTGCCCTTAGCCTGTATGGCTTGGCTGGCCGCCCCTGGCTTGCATGCCCCTTCTAGCAAGATGCACATGAAGGCCACCATGTGCAGCTGAGGGAGAGCCAGGTGGCTCTTCACCAAGAGCAGATCACATCCTTCTTTTGTCACATTCCTCCCTCTTAAGAGTGTCATGTTGATAGGCATGCCTTCTTGATGCAGGAAAGAATCTGTTGGCAAGCTCTGCCAAACATCGTTTTCCATGTACTTCCTATGTACCCACAGTTGCAGATCATGAGAGATTAAATAGGTTATCAAAAATAGCTTTCACTTTTTAAAATGTTCCTTTTTAGTTTCAGTTGAAAAAGGAGAAGAGACAGTACTAATTCTAGAAATGAAAGAGGATCTATCATTACTGAGCACATGAAGAATTAAAGAATAATAAAGAGACATTATAAAAACCACTCTATGCCCACAAATTTGATAACCTAAATGAAACAGACAAATTCCTGGAAAGAAACAACCTGCCAGAACTCAACACAATAAGAAACAGACAATTTGAATAGTACTACATCTATTAAAGAAACTGGGTCAAGGATAAATAACCTCACCAAACAGAAAGTACCAAAGCCAGACGAGATAACTAGTACATTTATGCAAATATTTAAGAGAAATTATTCCAACTCTCTACAATCTGCTCCAGAGAACAGAAGCAGAGTGAATACTTTCAAACTCATTCATTGGGGCCAGAATTACCATAATACCAAATTTAGACAAAGATATTACAAGAAAAAAATGCAGAGCAATATCTCACATGAACAAAGATGCAAAAACCCTCACCCACATATTAGGAAATCAAGTCCAAAAATGTAAAAATAGAATTATTTACTACAACCCAGCGAGATTTATTACAGGCATGCCAGGCTGGTTCAACATTTGAAAATAAATTAGGCTGGGTGTAGTGGCTTATACCTGTAATTCTAATGCAGTAGGAAGCCAAGGAGGGAGGATCACTTTAGGCTGGGAATTCAAGATAAGCCTGGGCAACATAGCAAGACTCTGTCTTAAAAAAAAAAATCAGTTCATCATATTAAGTTAAAAACAGATAAGATCTTATCAATACATTCAGAAAAATTATTTGACAATATCCAAAACCTATTCATGAGAAAACCTCTCTGCAGACTAGAAATAGAAGAAAACTTCCTCAATTTCATAAATAATGTCTATAAAAAACCTACATCTGGCCAGATGCTGTGGCTGACGCCTGTAATCCCAGCACTTTGGGAGGCCAAGGCGGGTGGATCATGAGGTCAGGAGATTGAGACCATCCCAGCCAACATGGTGAAACCCTGTCTCTACTAAAATACAAAAAACTAACCTGGCGTGGTGTGGTGTGCCTGTAGTCCCAGCTAGTTGGGAGGCTGAGGCAGAGGAATTGCTTAAACTCGGGAGGCAGAGGTTGCAGTGAGCCAAGATCGTGCCACTGCACTCCAGCCTGGAGACAGAGCGAGACTCCATCTAAACAAACAAACAAACACCCTTCATCTAACCTCATACTGAATGTTGAAACACTAGATGCTTTCCTGCTAAGATCAGGAGCAAGGCAAAGATGTCTCTTCTCCCCATTCCTATATGACATTATACTATAAGCCCTAGGTAATGCAATAAGACAAGAATAGAAAAGGTGCGTAGATTGGGAAGGAAGAAATAAAACTGTCTTTTTACACAGATGATATAATTGCCTATGGATAAATACAAAAAGATCATAAAACAAAATCTTAGAATAACCAATTTTAATGAGAAATCATAGTAACTTTGCACAATATAAGATTTATATACAAATGTCAATTACTGTCCTATATATCAGTAATGTAGTTACAATTTGAAATTTAAAAATTCAGTGACATTTAGGCTAGCACCAATAACAATGAAATTCTTAGGTACAAACATAAAATAAATATAAATATAGAATCTATATAAAGGAAACTACAAAACTGTAAAAACATCAAAGAAGATCTAAATAAATGGAGAGATAATCCACATTCAAGTAAAGAAAGCTTCAACATTGTTAAAATGTCAGTACTTCCCAACTACATTTACATATTCAATGCAATCCCAATCAAAATTCCACAAAGTTAGTTTATGGATATTGACAAACTGATTCTAAAGTTTATATGGAAAGGCAAAAAGCTCAGAATAACCAAGAAAATATTTTAAAAGGACAGTTATAGGAATGATACTACCCAACTGTAAGCACTTCTATAAAGCTACAGTAATCAAAACAACATAGTACTGGTAAAAAATAACAGAGAAGCAGATCAATAAAACAAAAGAGAAAGCTCAGAAATTGACCTATAAAAATACAGTCAGCTTATCTTTGAGGAAAGAGCAAAGACAATTCAACTGAGAAAGAATAATTTTTCAACAAACAGTATTGAACAACTGGACAACCACATGCAAGAGAAAAAAAGAAAAAAAAACCCTAAACCCAGACCTGACAACTTTCACAGAAATTACTCAGAATGGATCACAGACCAATATAAAAGGAAAAACCACAAAACTCCTAGAAGATAACAAAGAGCAGAATCTGAATTACCTCAGGTTTTGCTCCTTCGATAAAACACCAAAAACGCTGGACGTGGTGGCTCACACCTGTAATCCCAGCACTTTGGGAGGCCAAGTTGGGTGGATCATGAGGTCAAGAGATCGAGACCATACTGGCCAACATGGTGAAACCCCGTCTCTACTAAAAACACAAAAATTAGCTGGGTGTAGTGGTGCGTGCCTGTAGTCCCAGCTACTCGGAGGCTGAGGCAGGAGAATCGCTTGAACCTGGGAGTAGGAGGTTGCACTGCACTCTAGCCTGGGTGACAGGGTGAGACTCTGTCATAAAGCAAAACAAAACAAAAACACCAAAAACATGATCTATGAAAGGAAAAATTGCTAAGTTGAACCATATTAAAAATAACATTTCTGCACTGCCAAAGACACTGCTAAAAAATAAAAAGACAAGCCGCAGAATGGGAGAAAATATTTGCCAAACACATAACTGATAAAAGACTGGTATCAAAAACATGCAAAAAAATCCCAGAGTTCTTAAAACTCAAGAATAAGAAATGAACAACCCAATTATAAAATGGTAAATGATACAGATCCTTACTAAAGAACATATAAGCATGGCAAATAAGGACATGAAAATATGCTCAACAGCATATGTCATTGGGAAATTGAAAATAACAATGGCATACTGCCACACACATATTAGAATGGCTAAAATCCAAAACAGCGGCTACACTAAATGCTGGTGAGGATATAGAGTAACAAGAGCTCTCATTTATTGCTGATGAATATGCAAAGTTTATGACTAGTTTGGAAGACAGTTTGCCAGTTTCTTACAGAGCTAAATATACACTTACACACAATCCAGCAATCACACTCTTTGGCCTTAATCCAAAAGAGGTGAAAACTTGCATCTGCACAAAACTCTGCAGGTGACTGTTGAGAGCAGTTTTATACATAATTGCCAAAACATGGAACCAAACAAGATGGTCTTCAATAGGTAAATAATGTTCTTAATAGGTAAATAATGTTCTTCAATAGGTAAATAAATAAACTAGTTGTGGTGCAACCATACAACATTATTCACTGATTTTAAAAAAATGAGATTTCAAGGCTTGAAAAGACATGAGGAACCTTAAATACATACGGCTGTGAAAGAAGACAGTCTGAAAAGGCGACATACTACAGGATTCCAACTGTATGACATTTTGTAAAAGGCAAAACCATGGACACAGTAAGAAGATCTGTGCTTTCTAAAAGTTTGGGGGAAAAAGGGGTGAGATGAATAGATGGGGTACAGTGGATATTTTAAGACAATAAAACTATTTTGTATAATGCAATAATGGATACGTGTCATGTCATTATGCATTTGTCAACATCCACAGAATGTAAAACAGAAAACACGAATTTGAATGCAAACTTTAGATTTTAGTTAATAATAACTCTTCTATATTAGCTCATTAAGAGTAACAAATATGCTACACTAATGTAAGGTGTTAATAATAAGAGGAGAAGCTGGGTGTAG